TTGATTCTGGCACCCAACATCACAACAAGATGATATTTTAAGCTCCTTATGTAGCCGAACCTGCGCTGGTTTGAATGGGCCGCCTCCAGTTTCCCCTTTGTTTTGCTGCCTCCAGCTAGCGCTGTGACGTCGCTGACCCTAGTTACCTGTGCTTGGCCTGGCCATGCGTCACTCAGAAAACAACAAGCCAATCAGAAGAGAGGCTCATGAATATTAATTAGACAGGCCAAAATCGACCTGTTCTCAGCAGAGCTCCTGAGAGAGGAGCTGTAAAAATATATTGAGATGGTTTTTGGTACTTATACCGCAAATATATATTCTTAAGGACATCAAAACCTAAAATAAAACTCCAGAAAGGTGTAAAATATGTGACCTTTAAATAAAATAAACGTTTATAAAAAAAAAAAAACTTTATTTTATTTCATCTATAGTTGCCAAGGCATAATTAATTTTCTTTCTAATGCATTTTAATCACACTAAAATGAAATAAACTAAAAACTAATAAATAAAAATGAATAAAAGCTATAGACATATTAAAAAAATGACAAAAATGCATAACACAATTACTAAACCTAAGTAAAATTCAAGTGAAAACGGAAAATAAAAAATAAAAGTAATTCTAATTTCTAAAAACTATTAAAAGTATCAATAAACACTAAAATAACACTGGTACGTGTCAAAAATATTGACATTAAATATATCATATGAGACATTTTAACGTAATGTTTTATGTTATGATAAGGATATATTTAAATACTCACATACAAAATTTGTTTATATATTAAATAAACATGTGGTGATGCCTATAAACTGAATGAAATATTTAATAATAATAATTATAATATGTTTAATTTATATAGCACCTTTCCTGAGCTCAAGGACGCCTCACAAAGAGCAGTAATGCAACAATCAAACATTTAATTTCAATAAAATTAAACTGAAATTTAGGTTTAAATAAAAGACACTTAATGTCATTTAGATATTTTCCTTTTTTTTGGTTTTTGCACTTGATGATTCTAAGTTTTGAAGGAGGTTGTTTTTGAACAAGATTGTTTATAATAGTCAGTTTTAGTTCAGTCATCCAGAGACCCAATCAGAAGTCACGGCTCCTTTGATTGACATCTAGTCTCCGCCCCCGTTCTCAGGTGCAGGAGCTGGTGGAGGACATTAAACACTCGTTAGATCAGAGACTGCAGGAGCTCGACTGGATGGATGAAGAAACCAGAGACGCTGCCCGAGCGAAGGTGAGCAAAACTCGGTTGTGTTTCAGTCGGACTTTAAAGAGTTAACAAGCAGTGTTGGGGAAAGTTACTTTTCAAAGTAACGCATTACAATATTGCGTTACTCCCTTAAAAAGTAACTAATTACGTTACTTAGTTACTTTTTAATGCATTATGCTACTTTTGCGTTACTTTTCAAATCTGAGTTGGGCTTGCTTGTTTGTTTTTAATATAAAAATTTCTATTTCTAGTCTCCGCCCCCGTTCTCAGGTGCAGGAGCTGGTGGAGGACATTAAACACTCGTTAGATCAGAGACTGCAGGAGCTCGACTGGATGGATGAAGAAACCAGAGACGCTGCCCGAGCGAAGGTGAGCAAAACTCGGTTGTGTTTCAGTCGGACTTTAAAGAGTTAACAAGCAGTGTTGGGGAAAGTTACTTTTCAAAGTAACGCATTACAATATTGCGTTACTCCCTTAAAAAGTAACTAATTACGTTACTTAGTTACTTTTTAATGCATTATGCTACTTTTGCGTTACTTTTCAAATCTGAGTTGGGCTTGCTTGTTTGTTTTTAATATAAAAAGTTCTATTTCTGGTAAATGTAAAAGCCCTTTCACAACAAAAAGTGAAATGAATGAACCTCAGGCTGAAGGAAAAGTAAATTCACGTCTGTACAGCAGAACGCAGGAGAAGAACGTTCAACACTCTTCAGCAATAAAAAAAAATTAAGCACGAATGTTGGTTTATCTAAAGTGATTTTTGCTTATTAGTATGATTGAATTTGATAATCGAAGCTCAGCTGCAAAGACATTGGTTAATAAAATAGGATTAAATACATAAAGGATATTTGTGTTATTTACCATTTAACTATTGCAGATTTGCGTCATATTCCGAGTTTGCATTTCACTGTTTTTTTTATTAATTTGGAGGAACACTGAATCTGTTTTTGTGCAAGTGAGATGAGTAAATGCATGTTCATATATAGTCTAGAACTAAATATATTTCTATTAACAAGAGAGCTGTCAGTCAATACATGGGAAACAAAGTAACTGGCGTTACTTATTTGAAAGAGTAACTCAGATATTCTCTTGTTAATTAAAAAGTAATGTGTTATTTTACTAGTTACTTGAAAAAAGTAATCTGATTACGTAACTCGCGTTACCCCAACACTGTTAACACGTTTATATAAAATAGAGGCAAGAGTTGAGAGTTTTCCTCATTATTCTGAATCTTTCTCTCAGCTGCAGCACATGATGGTTATGACCGGTTATCCTGACTTTCTGTTAAAACCTGAACTTATCGACGAGGAGTACGGGGTAAGACGCTTCTGAGCGATCACATGATCCCATTCCAGATGATAGCTTGAGTTCAAATCCTTTTATTTCTCCTCGACAGTTCGATGTGAACGAGAAAACCTACTTCAAGAACATCCTGAACAGCATCAAGTACAACATCAAACTCTCCGTCAAAAAGATCCATAAAGAGGTGGACAAGACGACGTGAGTTTGACAGAACCACACAGGAAGTGATGTCACTGAGTCAGATGCATCGCAGCATACGATTAGAGGAACTTCACTGCTGATTTCAGAGAAAACGCACACACATTGTGGTTTAAATGGATATAAATTGGAAGAAAATGTTGAACTAACATGAGTATAAATACATCTCTAATAACATGCCACTAGATTTGAAAAGGTTTTTTCTTGTAATCATCACAGATGGTTTTGTGATTGATCGTAAAGGAGTCTCTGATGTGTCTGGAAACAGGCATTGAGTTAGTGTGTGTGTGTGTGTGTGAGTGTGTGTGTGAGAGAGAGAGTGTGTGTGTGAGAGAGAGAGTGTGTGTGTGAGAGAGAGAGTGTGTGTGTGAGAGAGAGAGTGTGTGTGTGAGAGAGAGAGTGTGTGTGTGAGAGAGAGAGTGTGTGTGTGAGAGAGAGAGTGTGTGTGTGAGAGAGAGAGTGTGTGTGTGAGAGAGAGAGTGTGTGTGTGAGAGAGAGAGTGTGTGTGTGAGAGAGAGAGTGTGTGTGTGAGAGAGAGAGTGTGTGTGTGAGAGAGAGAGTGTGTGTGTGAGAGAGAGAGTGTGTGTGTGAGAGAGAGAGTGTGTGTGTGAGAGAGAGAGTGTGTGTGTGAGAGAGAGAGTGTGTGTGTGAGAGAGAGAGTGTGTGTGTGAGAGAGAGAGTGTGTGTGTGAGAGAGAGAGTGTGTGTGTGAGAGAGAGAGTGTGTGTGTGAGAGAGAGAGTGTGTGTGTGAGAGAGAGAGTGTGTGTGTGAGAGAGAGAGTGTGTGTGTGAGAGAGAGAGTGTGTGTGTGAGAGAGAGAGTGTGTGTGTGAGAGAGAGAGTGTGTGTGTGAGAGAGAGAGTGTGTGTGTGAGAGAGAGAGTGTGTGTGTGAGAGAGAGAGTGTGTGTGTGAGAGAGAGAGTGTGTGTGTGAGAGAGAGAGTGTGTGTGTGAGAGAGAGAGTGTGTGTGTGAGAGAGAGAGTGTGTGTGTGAGAGAGAGAGTGTGTGTGTGAGAGAGAGAGTGTGTGTGTGAGAGAGAGAGTGTGTGTGTGAGAGAGAGAGTGTGTGTGTGAGAGAGAGAGTGTGTGTGTGAGAGAGAGAGTGTGTGTGTGAGAGAGAGAGTGTGTGTGTGAGAGAGAGAGTGTGTGTGTGAGAGAGAGAGTGTGTGTGTGAGAGAGAGAGTGTGTGTGTGAGAGAGAGAGTGTGTGTGTGAGAGAGAGAGTGTGTGTGTGAGAGAGAGAGTGTGTGTGTGAGAGAGAGAGTGTGTGTGTGAGAGAGAGAGTGTGTGTGTGAGAGAGAGAGTGTGTGTGTGAGAGAGAGAGTGTGTGTGTGAGAGAGAGAGTGTGTGTGTGAGAGAGAGAGTGTGTGTGTGAGAGAGAGAGTGTGTGTGTGAGAGAGAGAGTGTGTGTGTGAGAGAGAGAGTGTGTGTGTGAGAGAGAGAGTGTGTGTGTGAGAGAGAGAGTGTGTGTGTGAGAGAGAGAGTGTGTGTGTGAGAGAGAGAGTGTGTGTGTGAGAGAGAGAGTGTGTGTGTGAGAGAGAGAGTGTGTGTGTGAGAGAGAGAGTGTGTGTGTGAGAGAGAGAGTGTGTGTGTGAGAGAGAGAGTGTGTGTGTGAGAGAGAGAGTGTGTGTGTGAGAGAGAGAGTGTGTGTGTGAGAGAGAGAGTGTGTGTGTGAGAGAGAGAGTGTGTGTGTGAGAGAGAGAGTGTGTGTGTGAGAGAGAGAGTGTGTGTGTGAGAGAGAGAGTGTGTGTGTGAGAGAGAGAGTGTGTGTGTGAGAGAGAGAGTGTGTGTGTGAGAGAGAGAGTGTGTGTGTGAGAGAGAGAGTGTGTGTGTGAGAGAGAGAGTGTGTGTGTGAGAGAGAGAGTGTGTGTGTGAGAGAGAGAGTGTGTGTGTGAGAGAGAGAGTGTGTGTGTGAGAGAGAGAGTGTGTGTGTGAGAGAGAGAGTGTGTGTGTGAGAGAGAGAGTGTGTGTGTGAGAGAGAGAGTGTGTGTGTGAGAGAGAGAGTGTGTGTGTGAGAGAGAGAGTGTGTGTGTGAGAGAGAGAGTGTGTGTGTGAGAGAGAGAGTGTGTGTGTGAGAGAGAGAGTGTGTGTGTGAGAGAGAGAGTGTGTGTGTGAGAGAGAGAGTGTGTGTGTGAGAGAGAGAGTGTGTGTGTGAGAGAGAGAGTGTGTGTGTGAGAGAGAGAGTGTGTGTGTGAGAGAGAGAGTGTGTGTGTGAGAGAGAGAGTGTGTGTGTGAGAGAGAGAGTGTGTGTGTGAGAGAGAGAGTGTGTGTGTGAGAGAGAGAGTGTGTGTGTGAGAGAGAGAGTGTGTGTGTGAGAGAGAGAGTGTGTGTGTGAGAGAGAGAGTGTGTGTGTGAGAGAGAGAGTGTGTGTGTGAGAGAGAGAGTGTGTGTGTGAGAGAGAGAGTGTGTGTGTGAGAGAGAGAGTGTGTGTGTGAGAGAGAGAGTGTGTGTGTGAGAGAGAGAGTGTGTGTGTGAGAGAGAGAGTGTGTGTGTGAGAGAGAGAGTGTGTGTGTGAGAGAGAGAGTGTGTGTGTGAGAGAGAGAGTGTGTGTGTGAGAGAGAGAGTGTGTGTGTGAGAGAGAGAGTGTGTGTGTGAGAGAGAGAGTGTGTGTGTGAGAGAGAGAGTGTGTGTGTGAGAGAGAGTGTGTGTGTGTGAGTGAGTGTGTTTGTTTGTGTGTGTGTGTGAGTATTATCATTTGGACAGATTGTGTCTGAAAACGGCAGTCGAAACAAAGAAAAATTAGCGTCTGTTAAAACCTCCAGACCTCTGGAGCCCAAACACACACACTCTCACAGAGACACACACACACACACACACACACACACACACTCACAGAGTAACTGAAC